AGAACAGGAGGGGAGGGAGGGAGGGAGGGAGGGAGGGAGGAATAGATCGTACAGTCCTTTTCACTTAGATATAAAAATCCTACCAATTTTTCAATTATTCCTCCCAAATTTTTATTATTTTAAGCAGAGCTACCATGGCATCTCTGAGTGACCTAACTCATATAGCTATTAAAAGCCAGCAATCCCAAAAAACATTTCAATGGGTCTACTTCATGTTCCATAGCCACACCCAATTTGTAAAGCAGTTTCTAATCCCTCCCCAACCTCAAAGCTAATACAGAGTTTGCTCTAAGACATTAAGTAAAGACACAGCTTCTTTCATTCAGGAACGTTTTATTTGTTGTTGTTGTTTTCAACCAACTTTCTACAGCAGGATAGAGGAAGCAGCAACAAGAAAGGAAAAAAAGAGGAAACTGTTTAGAATATACAGCATTTCCGTTTGGGTTGAGTTTCCGGGGGCTCGAGGGCAGCTAGGATAGCCTCATCAAATACATTCTTCAGACCTCTCTATAAGACAGAGGGGGAGGAGAAAAAAATAGTAGCCTGGTTAGAGGATTAGAGAGACACACACACGCACGCACGCGCACGCACACGCACACGAGCAGATACAAAGAGCATTCAGGAACAAAGGTGCTCAGTGAAGCAGATTTACTTTGTCACAAAGTAGATCTTTGAGGAAGAAAGAAAATAGGCAAGCAGAGCAAAGAGTTAGCATGCATTCTACCTGAACAGCAGTCTTCACTGCTATAAAGAGAGGTCTTCACTTAGGTTACGCTGGACTGCTCTCTACCTTATTTTGTGTAGCAGGAGTCTCAAAGTGTCCAGGCCCAAGGGAGACTCACTCTACACAGAAGCACTTACTATACCACTAGCAGTGCCAAACAAACCACTGATGGTTTCTTAACCAGAGTTACATCCTGCCAGCTCAGTGCCCTCTATGGAAGCACTTGCTGCTAAAAACCAGCCAGGTTCAATGCAGCTGCAATGACCAGCTAGGAAGCGTGAAGGAGAGTAGTAGCAAGATTTGCTACTGATCCAAATTTTGGTAATTCACAACACCCCCTCACTGGATAGGATGAACCAGCGTCAGAGGGTGGCACGTTCCCAATTCTTCACTTACTACTCTCCAATTTCAGCCCGCCACTTCAGAGTGGCAGGGTATTTCCTCTCTCCCCCCGTGGTTTAATCTCTCATCCTGCCAAGCGCAAAGAAGTCAAATTTGTGTAAGTTTAGTAGAGAAAGGCATGAACCTTCCAACCACTGTTCCCATACAGCTGGAACAATGCTATCAACAAAGGTTGCGCACAAACCTTTCAATAATTTGTTACCAAGAAACCAATATTTCAATATGATGTTAACTGCATTCGTGTTTAGACAGCTCCCTCCCAGTTTTCTGGGGCATTTGCGAGTGAAAATCTGGCACTCAGAAGCAGTGGTTCCAGCATGAGAAATGCCAACCTCTGAAAGGCTATGTTCAGATTTTCAGTCAACTACAGCAATTACAGACACCCAAGTAATAAAAGGCAGTCACAGAAGCAGCACAGCACAATGGTGCACATGAAACACCATGCCCAGCCATGTGTCTGTCTGCAATGGTCACATCAGCACGCAAAGTCCTGATCTGCAGTAACAGAGTTTTCTAAGAAAAGAAACAACGCCACTGTAGCCAACTGCCACTGCCACAGGCTGACAGAGGAACACTTGGCACTGAAAGTGGACTGTCTAAATCTACTATGAGATGTGAAGCCATTGGGACAAATTTGCAGTGCTATCAGTACGAACTGAGGATCTTCTATGACCTGTATATTCACAAAGCCGTCTCGTCTAGGACAATGGTTTCGACAAAAACTTCCAGGTATGCTTCAGGGGTGCATATGAGTATTTATGAAAAGGCTCTCCAAAAGCTAGTTTTCTAAGAAAATGAGAATTTGGGGTTTCAGTGCTAACTTCTCCTATGAAGCTAATCTGATATGAAACAAAGCAATTGAAATGACTTCTTTAATCAGGTTTCCTATTTACATTCCAGATATTTCCTAAGCAGAAAGATATACCACTCCCTTGTTAGAACCATCAAATATATTGATTTATAATTGATGCTATGCTACATTTTAATATCAGTATCTTAAGTCACTTAAAAATGTTTTTATCACTTCAGAAAGCAGTAGCCCATCATAAATAGAATAAATGGAGTGCTCCAGACTATTGTTTTTTTTTCCTATAGCTTGTTCTTTATACAGAAAAAAACCCTGAACATACTTCATTTGTGTTAAAGAGACGCATAATTGGTTCTAAACCTGAGTTCCATTTCATACACATTTATTTTAATCTGGTTTTTTAAACAGAAGGATTCTACAGATTAAAAATGATATTTAATTAAAAAGGAACACAAACCTTTTTTTATTGACCCATCTTTAAGAAAACAAGTAGGAACATTTAAATAGCCAGAGCTGAATATTGCATTAGAACTTATTCCAGGCTGTATGCAGCCATTGAAATCAAGAAAGTTAGACAGTCAGAAGTTTAAGTATTTGTTTTGAAACTAAGCTGAATTATTTCTTGCATCAAACACGTTTCTGTTTCTTTTTATTTGTTTGGTTTTATGTTCTTGTTCATTTTCCCTTCTTTATGCTTATTAAAATAACAACTTTTTTTTAAAGCTAACCACAATAGAACATATATATTTTTTCCTTTCCTTCCAATCCAAATGCAAGTTTCTCTTTACATACCTTGATTTCTGTTTTTTATTTTACATTTTGCACTCCAAAATGCCAACTTCCCTCTCAAAAATATTTTAAGTACAGGAGAAACATTCCCCATCTCCATCCCACTTGAAGAAAATGCTTCCACCACTTTCCCTCACTGCCAATTTAATGTGGTTCAGATAAGATTTCAGGTAATTTATTCCCCACCCCACCCTTTATATTGGATGAGAACTCTTGGGGTTACAATTTAAAACTGCATATGCAATATCATGTTTTGGCTCTTCCATAACTCCCTAAGGTGTTCAATTTCTGAAAACATTTCATAATTTTGATGTTGCATTTGTAATACTCAAAAAAACATACTTTGAAACTCAAGCAATTAGCGACTTGTGCAGTTCAGCAGTGCTCTTCCTCCATATCACCAAATTCATTTGCCAGACTACCACCTCCATCTTTCTTTCATACTATCACTGATCCTCTTATCTATGAGCACACACTAGCAGAGTAACTATTAGGCAACAAACTATATACCATGACATATGAATCCATAAAAACTAACAGAGGCTTTTTTTCCTGCATCCACAGACCACAATAATGATAAGAAAACAAGTTGCAAGGGCTTTCCTGACATAGATTTTTGGTCGTCCAACAAGCCTAACCACTTGTTTTAACTGATACCTGCTCCTGCTTTACAATTATCTGATTTATCTACAAAAAGCTTAGGATATTGAGATACCAGCTCCAGTTGTAATTAGATTTCAAATCAATTGGAAATTAAATATGAGTTATTTAAGTTACACTTTTAATGCCATAATTAATCATCCCTACGATATCATTGCTTGCTCAGTGCAGTTCATTCATCGTTTTTACATTTGGTGAAAAATTATTCCAAGAGAGGAATCGCCAGAGACTTGTGGATTCTTCTGATCCTATCTTGAGAACCTCTGAAAGCAGCTGCAGCTGACTTCTGCGCAAGCCAACAGTGAGAATCTTCCTTCCACAGAGAACTCACCTGCCAACCCCCGTGACCCCCTGCGATTTCCCCCTTGCTAAGAACAGCCATGCAGAACATTTTAAATAGAAGGCTTACTTGTGTGAGCGCAGAGCATTCCACGTATTTGACAGCCTTCAAGTCCCGTGCCAGTTTCTCAGCGGCCTCAGGAGTGATGGGCTTCTGCTTATTCTTGGCAAGTTTCTCAATCGTTGAGGGGTCATCTCTGAGATCAATCTGGGTCCCAACGAGCAGAAACGGAGTCTTCGGACAATGGTGAGTGATTTCAGGGACCCACTAAAGAGAAAACATGCCAGTTATAATGCAAAATCACAATACGAAGTGACACTGGGCTCTTACAAAGAGGATTGAAAGCATTTGCATGGGTGCAGTCAAAACACCCTCACCTTTTCTTTAACATTTTCAAATGAAGATGGTGAGACCACAGAGAAGCACACCAGGAACACATCTGTCTGTGGATAGCTGAGGGGCCGTAATCTGTCATAATCTTCCTGTCCTGTGAAAAATAAAGGAGACTGACATTAGAAACCTGGTCTTTCACACCGGTATACAGCTGTCAGCCTACAGAAGGATCTAGAACTCTAACTCCAATACATTAGTATGAGAAAGGAACGTTACTGAAGAGACTCATGTAAAATTGCTTTCTTTCCTCCTTTCAGATGCCTCAAACTTTAAGCTGTGCATATACCAAAAGGAAGAATCCATTTCCATCCATGACACAGAATTCCAAATGATATGTAAATCAGTGGAATATAATTCCCAGAATAAAATTCAGCCGCACTTTCAGATTCTTGTTTCTAATAGGAAGAACGGCACCATGGGCAGAAAAGTCAGGCTCACTCCAAGGTCAGACTCAAATACAGTAGCTCTCCACTTTCTCCAGAGATCAAGGAGATGCTTGGCATAAATGCAATATTGTAGATCATTAGCTGTTCCCTGAGAAGCAGAAGAGAGTTCTGCTTCTGAGAAGCTATACATTCCCTAGAACTCCCCTTGCTATCTGGGGATCTGTCACAGTTCCAATTTGAGATATTCAAAGCAGGAAGTGACAGCCATAGTCATCCTGTTCTTCACTTCCCAACCAAGAAATTCTGGCGGATTCACTCACTGCATTCATCGACGGCTTGCTGTAAACCATAGCCGTGTAAGCCGTAAGCCACAGCAATCTGATACTTCACACACTGCGCTAAGTCAAAAGCTTTTAAAAAAGCACATTATGGCTTAATGAGAGGTTTCTAAAAAGATCACAGATTTTCTAAAAAGATTGTGAAGGCTGTGCAAGAGTTTTCCTTCCACTTCATTGTGAGGCACATGGAGAATGGCTTAGATGGTATTATTGGGTAGGAAGCAGAGATGTATTTATTTGATAACTCAGCAATTCCTAATTGTCATAAAAACGTAAACTACGTAAGCCTTTAAACTCTCATTCAGCCTTACTCATCCATACTGCCCTTTCTATCTTGCAACTATAATAATTACCCCACTTCCTCACCCTTCTTCCTTCCTGTTTTCCTATCTCATTTCTATCCCACATCTCCTTTCCTTTAACGGAAACACCTTCCACATGGGTTTAGTCTTATTCCTGGCAGCAATTCCATTCGTGGGTTTCATTCCTGTATTTTCAACCTTTTTTGCATCCTTACAAAATGCTCTAAGTTCAAATCATGCCTTAAAAAAGGAAATAGGAGAAAGCAAGAATTATCTACCAAGTAATAAGATTTTATTCCTTCCCTCAGCCAGAGAGGCTTCCAAAACAGCTTACAAATCAATCAAAACACAGTCCCACAGAGGGGAAAAGGGGTAAAAAGGGAAAAGGACAACAAGCAAACTTACATTCCTTACATTACACTGTTTTAGGCAGATACAATAATGCTTTGATTTTTGGCATACTTATAAACTGGAAGTTTATTAAAGTTGTTGTTCCATAACACCTACAAACCCAGATCACCTTCTTCCTCAAAGGATGGACAGACATTAGAAAGAAGTTACCTGCTGTATCAAACAGGCCTAAGGTATATGGCTCCCCGCCAATCATCACTGTTACAGCATAGTTATCAAACACCTGAAGAGTTAAAAACAAGAAACAACTTTCAGAACCACCAATTCATTTTCCGAATACAAAACATACTTGGGACTTAAATCAACTATTTATATAGAAATATGAACCTGTAAGAAACCAGCAGAACAAGTCCATCAATCACTAAGGGCTTCAGTAACAGTCTAACAGCCAGTACAGTTGTGAAAAGCAAGTAACCCCTTTCATAGTTTGCTATCACTAAATTAACCAGCAAAATATATCCTTAACCTAATAGGCAAAAATAATAATAATAGGACCCAACCTAGTCTACTCAGAATCATTATTTTTAATTAAACAATTAATTTAACATGTAATTACAATATTTTAAGTTTCCCACCCACAAAGCAAATACCATTCTTTTTTAAGAAAAACTAGCAGATTGGCATTTCAACATAAACTGACATTTTAAGATACACAGTTGTTATAGATTAAATATCTTAATTTAAAAAGTACATTCACCAAGCAGTGAAACATACTTGCATATGCTGGCCTAAAAACCAGGAGACTGTGAGTTCTAGGCCTCCCTTAGGCATGAAAGCCAGTCACTCTCTCTCTCAGCCCAACCCATCTCACAGGGCTGTTGTGGAGAAAAACAGGACGCAGGGGTATTAGGTATGTTTACTGCCTTGAGTTATATATTAAAAAGGCAGGAATAAAAATCTAACCTAATCTAAGGAGCACTACAGATGCCCACGTACTAAGGGCAGTATTACACATCTGTGCATCATACACCAGCCAGTTCTAATTTATCTTGATCAATGATCAGAATTACCCGGGGGGGGATGAAAAAAAGAGGAAAAAAGTTTTTGGTGCATTTAGAAACAATTACAAAATGATAAGAAACACAACCTAGGGTGCATCATTGTCCATAAACACACCATTTCACTGCTGCTCAACCTAGGGCAAGATATATTAATTTCCTGCTGATTAAACATACCACAAATACTTATTATTTACCATAATTTACTTCAAGACGTTCAGGAGTTACATTCAATCTGTAAGGGACACTGATCCAGAAGGGTAACAACTGGCCCCCATTTATTAATCAACTTCACCTGAGGTTTGGGTCAAAATCTCCAGTACCAGTTAAACAAGGTTCGAATACTACCACTAAGGGTCAAATCTAAACACCTAGGTATTAGCGCTATGCAAAACATTTAAAAGCATTGGTAAGCATGTCAGCATGAGCAAAGCACCCCTGCTGGAAACATTACACCACCCTTGGAAGGCAAGAAGAACTACTTAGAAAGCTGTCCCCAGCTGCCTGCACATGTGGGTGCGCACAGCTGTCCCACTGGAAGTCTCAGTAACTCCATTGTCTGTGTGTGCAAAGGCAGCCACCCAAGCTTTGAAAAGAAGGTGGCTCCTTTAATGCTCACACTCACCCGTTCTGCTAAGCACCTCCTCCCAACATTTTGCAAGACCCACTATCCATTGTTTCGCATGTTGCACATCCACCCATGCGCTTAAAAGACTTAAAAGGTGTTAATCATGACAACACCTCAGCTGTTCAGTGCAAAGGGTACATTTATGAGTTGATCATATGACATATTGCCTTCAGTTTTCTGTACTCAGCATGACTTCTTGATCTCATTATAAAGCAGTTCAACAGTGGGCATTTCTTCTACGCGCTAACTTGTATAATTTAATCCATTACCATTCATTAAATCAGACTAGGCAAATGCATTTGGAACCCAGCATTGTAAAATGCTAATACCAGACACTGACCAAAAAGGACCATGGCAGTATTGTACAGATTATAATGCCTAAGTAACTAAAACACTCCTTAATCTGGACTAAAGGCAGCATCGGGTTGATCTTAGCTGATCTTGAAAAAGGTAAGCAGGGTTGGGCCTAGTTACTTCTTGGGATAGAGATGAGGAGGAAATGCCAGGGTGGTAGGCAAAACTGGAAAAGATAAAAGATCTCCCTGCTTGGCTCCTGCTGACTCCTTGCATATATTCAGGCTACTTTCCTAGAAATAGTCTGTCATTTACTCATATTCCCTTATATATTATATGGTAACTTGAGCCAGCCAAGCACAATACAACAAGAATTTGCTATAGAGCTTAGAAGCCCCTTTATGGCAAAACTAAAGATGTCAGAGATACAACAAAGAACCATTATATTTTCCAATGGAGAAATTGGTTGTGTTTGTTGGGAAACCAACCAAAATTAGAGAGTAGGGCCCTTGCTGCCCCAATGTCTTTCACAGAAAGGAAATGGCAGGGGGTATATTCAACCAGTTCCAAGAGCAGGTTTGACAGAAGCCAGTTTTTTTAGGTGAAATGCCAGTGAAATGGTGAAGCAGCTACTCCTAAGGTTAAAGACAGTCACTATTTTGGAATTAGGTACTTCATATAGTTTTGATGGGTATACTTAATTTACTGCCACTTCTAATAAACTGGTTTTTCAGATTTTACACTGTGTGGAAAAAAAAAGACTTTCAAGTCCAGGCAATGGCCTCTTAAAAGTTTCAAGCAAAACTGAAGATTAAGTATTGTGTGACCATTTACATTATATAAATACACACATTACCAAACAATACAGTTTCATGTGATGTGATTTTAACCTTAGTTGTTGTTCAAATTAGCTTAGATTTAGTAACAAAATACATTTATTTTTTTAGTACATGAGATTTAGGTGCCGCCCAACTGATAAGACTCTGGGTGACGTACAATATCAAACTCATGAAAAACACAATTTCATATAAACAACCAAGATGGCAATAAATATCGCATACCTTAGAAATTTTCATACTAAAAGTCTCTGCAAGAATTTTAAAATCTGTAATTTCATATCTGTACTCACCCAATGGCAATTAGAAAAGAAAAAGTGATCATTTTTCTTAGAAATTTCTCTTTCCTGAAAGCTTGGAGGACAGTGCAAGCTTGCATTATCACTCTATTACAGTGTTGATATCAGTAATTTCCAAAACAAAAATTTCCAAAACATCCTAACCAAAAATGCTACTACTGCATCACGTTGTCATCACTTTTGTACACATGCATAGGTTTTGTTTACTTAATAATACATATATTTATGTTTAAAAATAATAGTATGGATGCTGAAGGATTGTATATTAAAGAGAACATGGTGCCCAGATAACATCATGAATGTAACTATAACCAACATATTGTCTAATTAGCAGGGTCATAAGTCTCTGTTCCTTAACTTCATACAGGAAAAGAAAAATGAGAAAGTACCACCTTTTACTCACCGTTGGTACATATTCAGAGGGAAATTTATTTGTTGTATAAGAAATTAGAAGACATGTTTTACCAACAGCACCATCTCCCACAACTACACACTTAATTGTCTGCATAGTTCAAGTTTGTTGCTGTATCAGGTCCAAAATTAATCTGGAAAAATAAAACAAAATAGGAAGTCACATAATTATTTGAATGATAGAAAATGTTTATCATCATCATCACACTTTCTGTACAGGCATCTTAAGAAATTCAGCTACAGTAATAGAAGCCACCCCCAAAACGCAGATCAAAGAGAACGGCAGGATGGGGAGGGAGATTAAAACCATTTCCTTCCCACATAATCTAGCTGATAATAAGATTCAGACTCATACTCTAGTTTTGTTCCCTCACAGGAAAAGTTCCAGAAAATCCCATGAAAAATTTGCTGTTCACAAGCATTCCTGAGTAGTAGGAACATTACTGAGAAGGCTCAGTATCATGATTAACAAGAACTTGAAAGCTTCCTTTTTCTCCAAGTAGAAAAACCCAGCATTTGCATAACACATCTTATACAGGCTTTCCTATAAAGCAGGAATATCAAACAAGGACTATGTAGTGTAACATAAGACCTGTATTTTCTTATTCCTGCTGATCTTAGAACCCTCAGCTCTAAACCCATACCAAAATTAGAATTTGGTTCTAACCACAAGCACTTTCCTTCCTGTTTTGCAACTAGGCACTCAGAATTAACAATCACATCCCAGCTTATTTCTATCATTTCAACACAGCAAAGAACATGCTTTTTCAGCACTCCTTTCCACCTCCCAGGATGCCGAAATCCTAGATCTACCAACACCAAAACCCTTATGCAATTTTCAATTCTGCTATAAGCCTTTCCAGTTCTGAAAAAAAAATACGAACCAGAAGCAGTTTTTCTTATTTCACTGATGAAATCTTCAATATTTTGGAAAGACATGGATGTACCTATCTCCTCAACAGCAGCCTTTTTAGGAATCCTGAGTTTGCTAGAGTTGGCTGCTTTCTTCATCTAAATGTAGTTATTTTTAACAGCACAGATTTATACCAAGTAATGAGAACATGGCCCCTCCTACTCGTGGGAGTGCTCCTCTGTATCACTGAACTTTGCCTGGTTTCTTTTCTCTCCATGTTTCTCAACACCAACAGATACACTCCAACAAGTGGGGACCATTAGATGTTGCATTTTAGTGAATTGGAGCAATCATCATAACAAATAATACGTAATCATAATAAAAGCTTGCTAAGACTCCTTACTATAGTCTCATCAAGACACACCTCACCAGAATGTATGATTATCTTCTGCAGAAGCCCTGTTATGCAGCCACAGTAAACCTGGTCTATGTAACACCTGTTTGAACACAAACTATACCCCACAGTGTGCTGAAATATCTGTACAGTTCTGACTATTCTTCACTCACATTTGTTACATTTCACCTAAAATGGAAAGTGTTCCTTGCTGCAAGTGTAAACAAAAATGAGTATCTTAGTGCTCCACCACACCAAGAACAAACACCTGTATCTCCACTCTCTCAGTAAAGATTAGAATGAGCATCTTGTACGGGTTTTTCTATACAATGTATTTTACATGTTTCCATTCAAATAATGATTAAAAGCCACCAAGACTGGCTTCAGTCAGGTTTCTCGTTTTGCAACAGATATATTTCCTAGACCAAAATACATACTTAAAGATCTATACCTACAGATATTTACAACTTTGTATAGTCTTTACAATACACAGGAAAATAACTGAGAAACTTTAGCATGGATCTCACACCATCAATATAACTCCACTCCAATTCACCTCTAGCACATACATTTTTCCTCACTGGCACATTCACATGAATCTCTGTTCTGTGTGTAGAGAAAAAAGAAGATTCCCTATGATTAAAAGTTGATTTCAGAACACAGGAAAATAGCAGGTACCACACTGATCTTTGAAGACATTAAGGATGTGATGGGGGAAGGCTGAATTCTAAGGCTTATAACTAGGGGACATAAGCTCATTCCTCTCCTGAGGGGCAGAGGGTACCAGCAGCTCATAGTTGCAGTTGTGTCAGCCTTCTGCTCAGTGCTGTTAGCCTTCTGTTCAGCACTGTGTTAAAAGTTCCCAGCATCTTCCTCTGAAGGAAGTAAAATGAAGACAAAAGAACATTTTATTTGGCTACCAAGGAAAATCAAATAAAAATCTGTGTTCCCCAGAAATGTCTACTATCTTAGTCCAATAAAAGAACTGGAATTAGCAAAAGTATTAATAATGATATAATCAATATTAATAATAATATAATCAAGATCCTTACAAATACCACTGCAAAAAATGCATTAACCTGTTAATAATTTTCTCTTCTTATCCATCTCTCCAAAATAAGAATCTTAGCAATCAAATCAAGTGCCTTGTTTTTCAGGTATACCATTTATCTCAACAGAAATCTTCCCATATTATACGTTTATCCGAAATAGGGAAGTTTTCCATAATAAATGGATAAAACATCTGCTTTCTAAAATGAAATGTGTCTACACTACTTCTAGGTGGCTGGAAAATCCTCCAAATGTCCTTGACAATCAGTATTAACTGTTCTGGGTCAACAGGCATTATATTTTATAACCTATCCATATAAATACACAAGAAACACTTAGGTTATCTTATCCAGATACATGTATTAGGGAACTTGATTAATGTCTTATAGTTTCAAGGTTAGAATAAGTGCATGACTTTCTAGCAAAACATATCTTAATGTGACATGCCACTTTAGAGAAACAAATCTTGAACTTGTCTATGCAGCAATACCATATCAACATTTACTTCTTATAAGGCTGCTTTCTCCACAAAAAATACATATAGGTAATCCCCGGATTAAGAACACCCGGTTTAAGGATGACCCATAGTTAAGAACAAAGCCTGTTGTAGCAAAATTTGAGTTAAATACACAATGATTCTAGTTAAATACACAATGGTTCGAATTCATTACACTATACTACTTATACAGTATTATACAATAATACTGTTCTGGCTTACATACAAATCCGACTTAAGGACAGACCTTGGGAATGGAACTTGTTCTTAAACTGGGGACTACCTGTATAGCATACAATATGCTAGAAGCTGAACACCCTATATATTAAGTGACATCTAATTCTTAGCCTATGTACAATCCCAGTAACTGCCATATACCACAGGATTAGTTGCAAAGCAAATAAATTATTGCTATCCATGATCTCTTGGCATTTAAGCTGGGACTAAAGAACTGTTCATTACATACTCTGCACAGACGCTGGACAACTTCTGAGAGGTTTCTATCATGACATGTTTGAACATGTCATTTTTCCAAAACAGCGTGAAGAGGAATTATGCTTCCAGCTATCTGCCTACCTAAATGATATCAATGGTCAAGTCAAAATGTCTGATCAGAGACCAATCATTCAACACAAAGGAATATGACTGATGATAAATCAATACGCTGATCTTTCACTCACTAACACAAACTGATGGGGAAAAATTTCCAGCTCTCTCTGTGCAAATGCATACAAAAAGAAATTTTAAAACATAACAACAAACAAAAGTGGATTTGCAGCGCTTCAAGTTATTTGCTCTCCTGCTTCAGGCTTGTCTGAACCACACACAATCGGTGTATGACTATGACAAGCAAGCAGAAACTATGTGTGCACATAGACCACCCATTCCTTTGCCTATCCGAGGTCAGCATTCAAATCAGCAGAGATAACATTAAGCTCTCCTTTACTTCAAATCCATCTCAGGCCACGCTTATATACAAAGCCCCTTCCTACCTCCATTCCACAACCCAGGGCCCCCTATCTGAATAGATAATAAAAACTAAGCACTGGTATAGCACACTTGGAGTGCTTCATATACATTACCTCAGCAATTCTTACCACACAGGAACTCAGTATGATCATCCCCAAATGGGGAAAGATTGGCATGGGGAACAAAAACAGAGATTTCTTTATAGGCTCTTCTGCATTCACAGAAGAGATGAGATACAAAACAGGGACTTTCTAATTCAAAACTTTTCTGTATTAGAACCTTTCAGCTTAAAAACAAGACATAAAAATTATGTTAAAAATACACAGAGCTACTTCATATGTACACAGAATAGTGGTTTAATTCAAGACAATGTAACTTCATAGCAACTTTTTTTCACAATGCCTGAGTTCTATATATCACTCAGGGGACATAATTTTAGCTTGAAAATAAAATGTGAATTCAAAATATTGACCTAAACAAAGTTAGAGCATTACAAGGCATATTATATACTGAATTCATTCACAACAGAATACCAATGAGACCTCACTGACCTAGTTCTCTACAAATATTATATACATCTAAGGACCACCATCATTTCCATGTTACAGGTGAGCCAATCTCCATTTGAATCTGTAGAAGATGCTCTGATCCAAAACTCACTATATGTAAGAGAATCCACTTTCGTTATTTCCATAACTGCTTGCTTGTAACTGATATAACTGTATATCTGTATTTATGCTGTTGGCTCCCCTGAATCTATTTCTAAATTAAAGATAATAATCTGTTCTTCTTTATCCCAGAATAAAAACAAATGAACTTGTAATAATTGTAAAAATTCTGATTGGATTGATAAAATGGGAAAAAAGTCTTCCCTAAATGCAATGTAGTTTATAGCATTATTTAAATCAGGGATGTTCCAACCAGCTTTTACAACTCCTGTACTTCTGATCTTAGGAAATATCATGTAAGACGTTCAAGCTACTGATGATATATTATAATGCCTCAGTTTTTAACCTATGAAATAGTAACACACACACCCATCCTTGAAATAGTGGTGTTCAAAAGCTGCAAAAGCCTCATCTACAGTACTGAGAAGACTCTCAGAAGCCAGTTTGAATGGGGAAGGGGACAGCTCAATAGCTGCCACTTCACCCACTCTCAAGACAAAACGATATTCGTAAAAACCCTCCCAGCAGGTAGGACGTTATGTTGCATAGATACAACATGCACACTCGCCGGGCTGTTTCCAGCCTAAATTACTTGCAGTTAAGCCCATTCCAAAAACCTCATGACTAACTTCTCAGATGTCAATGCAAGAGAGCCCTGAACCTGATTCCCAGCACTTCGCACACGTCTAAACGTGTCGCGATTTTAATGGGGAGGCTAAGCCTTATTGCACTCGCCCACGGAGCGGCGCGGCGCGGCAGAAGCGTGCGGACCCCCCCCCGCTCCCGTCTCCCTCCTCCCCGCTCGGCCCCTGGCAAGCTTCGGTGGGACACAGAGCCCTACAGAGACGCCCCCGCCCCCCCCGGCCCCTTTCCCCCACACCTCCGACCCGCCCCTTCTGACCAAGTCAGGCCGCCGGTCCGGACAGGAAA